ATTCTGCAGCATGGACAGCAGCGGGCAACACAATGATCTGCTACCCGAGCATCATTCGGTGACAATCTGTGTCGGCAGCTCAAGACCCGCGATGGTTCTCGACGAACAGAGTAGTCCAGCGATGTCCTCCATCTGCAACCAACGGCCAGCACTCGTTTAGCTCGAGTCCAGTGATCTCGAGCTCAATTTTGTGACGTATTATTCATTCCGGCGCCTTTCGGCACTTCCCCACTCTTGTTTGAATTCAAATTAGTGCTACCCACCCATCCGACATTGTTTTGGCGTTAACCCACACCATGTCGACCTCGGATTTACAAGCTCCAACGTGTTCACCATCATTCAGTGATGTTCAGTGGGTAACAACCTCCTTGAACACCCTTTTTGATTCAATTTTAGTAGTCGAAACTGAGTAGTAACGTGCTGGATTTATTTTATGTGCCTAGGTTTCGAGCCAACGCAAAGGCTAGGAGCTTGTAGGCGTGTGTAAGTAGCACCAAGGGGCGGGTGTGTGCGTTAATAGGTGTTATTGAGATGGTTTCGTGCTTAACTTTGCTATACTTGTGTATCTCATGTATTTAGAATTTGTTGGGCATCATTTGAGGACTTCTAGTTGTTATCGTTGGGTTGCATTCTTGTTGCTTCTTTTGTTCTTTTCTTTTTATATATTAGGAAAATATTTTGTATCATGATTATTGGATATGCCTTGAAAGTTGCTATTCGGTATGGTTGGAAGTGATTAAGCTTTAATGTTTGAAAACATGTTTTGGGATTGAAAATGCACGTGATAGTTTTATGTTATTTAGTTTATGTTTGCTTAGTTGGAAGCTACTGGATTATTTTCTTTGTTCTGTACGATGAAGAGCATGCTGGATAATTGTGTTGTGATTAGATGTGTGAATGGCTTGTCGATGCCTTTGAAAGATTGGTTGGGGTGGTCTGAATAGATGGAACGGACTGGTGGTAGCGGTTTGTTATACTATGTTTTGTCTATAGTGATAACGTAAGCAGTCATTTGGTTGTTCGTAGTCGATATTGTGGGTGACTTGGGAATGATGTGATTGAATCTTAGCAGAGGGCCATGATTGGAATTGGTGGCCTATCGAGTAAATGAAAAGTGAGTAGACGAGTTTCATGGCATCGCGGACAAATGGTCGAGGTTGTTACGTCACTATTGGGTATCGAGGCTCCAGGTACAAAAGGTCGGAGGACGATAGGTCAGTCTTGGTAGAGATGAGGGTCGAGACGTCGGGTACAAAAGGTCGGGGGTCGGCACGATGAGTCTATCTGATGATTAGTATTGGGTCTTGACATGGTGGCAGTCAAGGACCACTACGCCTAGTAGACGTCGAAGCCTTGGGTACAAATGGTCAAGGGTCAATGCACAGTTCAAGGCCTTGGGTATGAAGGTCAAAGTCGAACGCCAAGCCTCTGTAGAGGAGTGTCAGGGCCTTGGGTACAAAAGGTCAAGGGCCGATACGATTCGAAGAGTTAGACTTGGAGGACTAACATAGTGTGATGGATAGAAGTAGCTTGAAGGAGCTAGGTGGGTCTTGCGGTCGAAGATACGTGAGTCTTAATATTTTGGGATGCTTGTATGTGTGTATTGATTAATTGTTATGACCTATTGATGCATGATTTCTAGTTATCGCATTTTGATAATTGATGAGATTACAAACATGCTGTTTTGCGTATAGTTAGTGAGGGCTACTGATATGAACCAAGGAGCTCCCTTTGTCATGCCTCATGGACCGATTACAAGATCAAGAGCTCGGAAACTTCAACAAGCCTTTCTACTTCGTGTCCAAGCGTTCGTGAACTCGACACGAGAATTAAAGGAAGATGTGCAAGATGTTGAAACAATTCAATTCAATTTGGTGCAAGTTATGCATTTTTAAGTGTTTTTAAGGCAAGTTAAAGTCCACTTGGTCAAAGTCAAAGTCAACTTCATCAAGAGAAGTCAAAGTCAACTCATTCAATTCAAAAACCAAGTCAAACACTCACATCCCTCATTATGGACGGGTATTTTGGTTGGCTTTCCATGTTCTTAGCCTTTTCATTTGCTTGTCTTTTCATTTCTTGTAAGTTATCTCTTTTCATTTACAAGTCTTTTCATTTCTTGTAAGTTACAAGTCTTTTCATTTGCTTAAGACTTTTCATTTGGCTTGCTAGGATGGTTATATATAGCCTTGAGATGTCTTGTTGTAAACACAATTTGAAGTTTAATGAAAACTGAGTTTTCTCATTAGCTTGGTTGAGAGCTTTATCTCCCATTTCTTGTGCAATTTCTTGTGTCTTTAGAATTTGCATGTTAGGATCATTCAAGCGGTGTTGATCATATCTCTTGTGGAGTGATTTGAATCACGAGTTTAGAAACGAGTTTTCTCTACTCTTGATATTGATCATCAAGGTAATCCATTCTTAAACTTTTCCTTGGGTTGATCCATACTTGTTTTCGGGGTTTTTGGGATTGAGTTCTATGGGTCTTGTTCGTTAGCAAGGTTCTTAGATCCAACTCTCAAGGGTTTCTTAACAGCTACTAGCGACTTTGTGGTCGGGGTTAGTTTGATTGCATGTGCGGATTAATGAGTGTTAATCATTTCTTGATGCATGGATGCCAGTTTAATACTTCATAGCGAATGTTGTGTGCTAAACATGTTGTTTGTGTGTAGTTAGAGAGGGCTACTTACGGAGTATTTTTAATACTCACCCCCTCTGAAATTATTGTTTTCAGGTGGAGATCAGGTTCACGGTGATGGTGATGGTGTGAGGGAGACTTGAGAAGAAGGATCATAGCTAACTTCCGTTTAGTTTTAACTTGTCTAAACTTGGTCTTTAGAAGTCTTGATGGTTTAGTTTATTTCTTATGTTTTGAGTATCGACTTGTGTAAAGCTCAGGGGGTTGGTATAATGTTTTAGATGACTTTTCTTTTAAGTATAGACTCCTGTAAAGAATATGTCATTGGTTTCATTGAGAAGCTTAGGGAGTATGTTTAATGTTGTTGGATTCACTAACTTTTTAAGATTGAAGCATGGATTAATCGTTTTGGTTTGGTGTTATTATCAGAGTGGCACAGTGGAAGAGTGGTGGTTTTTATTTACTTAGTTGATTTTTATTAACTTGTAGGGTTATGCTTTTATTGGATAGGTTGTTTGTCTGTCGTTATTTACTTGTTTTGGATCTGCTTGACTTAAACGGGAAAGTTAGGTGTTGTTTGTCCATGAAGGACAAGTTGTTTAGTCCATTTGAAAAGTAAAGTGTTCACAGGTTTAACTTGAGCAAATGAAAAGCTGAAATTTCTAGGTTCGTTTAGTTGCCTTTATGCCTTGGAAGGAAGTTTGGGGCACGTAGGTTTAGTAATGTTCCCCCATGTAAGTTATCAAAATTCGGGGGCGTTACAGCAAGTGTTTAATATAGATTTGTTTATATTTCAGCATGTTTAAATCTATTAACTTGCTTGCCGCCGAAAAACTCAACGGTGAAAATTACACACAATGGAAAACGAACCTTAAGACGAAACTCGTGGTAGATGGATCTTAGGTTCGTCTTAATTGAGGAGTGTCCTCAGGCTCCCACGCCTAATGCAGCCCGAGCCAGTCGGGATGACTATGATAGATGGATCAAGGCCAATGACAAGGTCAAGGTCTACATCTTGGCAAGCATATATGATGTGCTGGCCAATAAGCATGAGAGCATGGTCACCACAAGGGAGATCATGGACTCGTTGCGGGACATGTTTGGACAGCCGTTCATTCAAGCCCGACACGATGCCCTCAAGTTCATTTAGAATTCCCACATGAAAGAAGGAACATCAGTGCGAGAACATGTTCTCAATCTGATGGTCCACTTTAATGTGGCTGAAGTGAACGGCACTGTCATAGACGATGGGAGTCAGGTCAGATTTTTCTTGGAATCTCTTTCGAAGAGTTTCCTACAATTTCGCAGCAATGTTGTGATGAACAAGATAGAATACAACCTTACCACGCTCTTAAATGAGCTACAAATTTTTCAGTCTCTTATGAAAAGTAAGTGACAGGAAGGAGAGGCAAACGTTGTCACCTCAAAACGGTTCCATTGAGGTTTGACCTCAGGAACCAAATCTGCACTTTCTTCTTCTAGAAGTGAGACTTTCAAGAAGAAGAAGAACAATGGTAAGGGGGTGAAAGATGACCCTATTGATACTGCTGCTACCAAGAAGGGTAAGGCCGAAGTTACAGACAAAGGAAAATGTTTCCACTGCAACGTGGATGGGCACTGGAAAAGAAACAACCTGAAATACTTGGCCGAAAAGAAGAAAGCCAAAGAAGGGAATTGATTCCTGGAGGAAGCTTTATGTTGGGGAGATGACTCTCAAAGTTAGAACGGAGATGTCGTCTCAACAGTCGCAATGGGAGACCTAAAGTTATTTTTAGACAAGAATACATATATATTATTAGATAATGTGTATGTACTTCCTAAAATAAATAGGAACTTAATTTCAATTTTTTGTCTACTGGAACAATGCTATGCTATTTCTTTTTCATTAAATGAAGTGTTCTTGAGTCATGTAATCTAAGGGTCGGGGTGGTGCTCCGTTCAGGCCGCTGCGGACGTCGTCGGTGCCGGAGGTGGGAGACGGCGTCGGAGCTAGTGGTGGGATGGGAGTGAACCCTAGGTTGCATGGGCCGCGTGGTGCTGGTGAGCAGTCCCGTTCGGTTGCGGTTCAGCCTGGTTCGGTTAATTCTGCACCGGTTGATGCAAATCCAACCACGGATCCATTGACTGTACCCGGGGGGACCAATTACAAGAAGCAAAGCAAATAAGATTCAAGAGGTTTTCATAATACATCTTCAAAGGCTAGCTAATGCACACGAGGAGACAAAGATTTCTGAGGCAAAAATTCTTTACAATGTTAATTTAATGAGTCAAGAAGAGAATGGAGCAAAGATGGCACGAGAAAAGTTGTCTATTTTGAGAGATGGCACGGAGGACAAAAAAAGTGTGCAGATTGGTGAACAGGTGCCTTTGCAGATTGCACCTCTTGGGAGTTTGTGATGTCAAAGCTTATCAAATCTCATCCAAACGTAAAGCGCCTCCTACATGTGATTTCCAAGACAATTTAAAGCAATTTTACATTTTTGGACTCACATTTAGTTGTCTAGTTTGATGTGCAATCATGTTTTAATTTGCATGTCTTATTTTCTACAATTTGCATTAA